GAGAGTCTGAACTAGCCGCTGGACAAGGTTACTGGGATACTGACCACTGCGGGGGAAAGTAGGAATGGGACCCTGGAGAGTTTGAACTAGCCGCTGGACAAGGTTACTGGGATACTGACCACTGCGAGGCAAGGTAGGAATGGGACCCTGGAGAGTCTGAACTAGCCGCTGGACAAGGTTACTGGGATACTGACCACGGCTGGGGAGAGTAGGAAGGGGGCCCAGGAGAGTCTGAACTAGTCGCTGGATGAGGTTACTGGGATACTGACCACTGCGGGGCAAGGTAGGAATGGAACCCTGAAGAGTCTGAACTAGCCGCTGGAAAAGGTTACTGGGATACTGACCACTGCGGGAGAAGGTAGGAATGGGACCCTGGAGAGTCTGAACTAGCCGCTGGACAAGGTTACTGGGATACTGACCACGGCCGGGGAGGGTAGGAAGGGGGCCCAAGAGAGAGTGTGAACTAGCTGCTGGACGAGGTTACTGGGATACTGACCAGTGCGGGGGGAGGTAGGAAGGGGGCTTTGGAGGCCATGCCTTGCATTTGAAAGTCTGGTCCCCGGGCCGCCTAGGACCCTCCTTCCCCGGGCGTCATCACTGGGGTCGCAATCCGTACAGGGACAGGGCATGCCCACTAAATCTGGTTCCCTTGGAGAACTTCCTTAGAAGCACTTTTAGGGTTTTCTGTGGTTGGGATTATGGGCGACAGCGCCACGGAGGCCCTGCGGTCCAGTCCTCAGCCTTCCCTCACGGAGATGAAAGGAGATGTTCCAAGGGCCTGTTGCGTGTAACACGTTTGCCACAAGCTTCATGTCACGCGTGTGTGCAGATCACCCCCGGGGCAGGGCATGTAACTCAGCAACCGGACCTCTGGTGTGTGTGGAGTCCCCGTGTCTCCTCGTTCCCTTAGCTGGAAATCACACGCGGCAGGGGTGAAAAGGAGCGGCTCGCGGTAGCCCTTCCACGAATGTGGACCGAGAAAAGATGCCGGGCCCCAAGGGAAGAGAAGGGGTGGACGGAGGGGCAGAACATTGCAGGCAGAGTCCACACCGAGCGCAGAGCCCAAGGTGGGGCTGGCTGTTCCAACACCGAGACGGTGACCTGAGCTGAAACCAGCAGCTGGAGGCTTCACCGATGGGGCCTCCCAGCTGCCCCACGACTGTGAGAATCGTGATCACACTCCAGCCCCACCGTGCACACCTCCAGCAGCCAACCTTCTGCGGTCAGACCTCCAGCAGGCACAGCGTCCCCAACCCGGAGCACTGCGTCCTGCCCAATCCCACAGGCACACACCGACCCGGCTCCTCAGCCGGCCTTCTGCGGTCAGACCGCTGCGGCTAGCACACGAGACTGGACAGCTGATGTCCACGGCAAACCTCCCTTCCTGGCCCCCCTGCCTTCTCCCCGCTAAAGTCAGTGCATTCCCCAAGTCGCAGACTCCCTTCCTGCACAATCTCCCTCCCACTTGGGAGGAACAACCTGTCTGTGCTGTGGACACGGAGGAACTTCATTCCGACACGGGCATGCCACGGGCCCGCTTTCCAGAAATACGTCCTTTTCAAGGCATCCCAGTCGCCCTCGTCGAGCAGTGCTGACCTGCCAACCTCTGCCGTCCCAAAAGGTTTCACGCAAGGTCACGGGGTCACAAGATGCAAGAATTCACCTGCGCGAAGGGCTGGACCTCAGCGCTGACACCTGTACGCCATCAAGGCGGCTGCTCGCTGCGTGAGACCTCGGCAGTCCCGGGGAGAACAGATGCCATCACGGGGAGGGAAACCACCGTCCCACAGAAGTCACCGGTCCGCGCGCTGCCCCTCAGCAGCCCCTCAGACCCAGCAGCCTCGGGGACACGGGAGATTCCGGCCATACTCCCCCAGCACGGATTCTGCGGCAGTGGGAAAGGGAGTGAGCCAGAGCCCAGGGCTGGGCCGCAGGCCCTGCAGGGGCACACGAGTCGTCCCGTGGGGTTCCCTACAGGGGCTGGGCCAGGTGGTCTCCTGCGTGACCGCTGGGCCTACTTCCCACTCCCCGTAGAGGCTCGCTTTCTGGGACATGTCGTCGGGACCGCTGAACGGGCCAGAAAACCACGGGTCAAGGAGCAGAGCCAAGCGAGCTGGCCCTCAGAGCAGCAGCCGGCCATCTGCCTGTGGCGGCTGGTCCACAGCGGTGGGAAGCTGTCAGGTAAGTGATACCACCACAGGGGTCGTTGACGGGGCGGGAGCTGCAGCAGAAACACGCGCCATGGGACAACCACGTTCCGCCGAAGGCCAACGCTGTCAGCGCCGGGGTTCGTCCAGGAACGCGGGACGCACCGTGCCACAGTTCCCATCACACGGAGCCAACGCCTGGTGACTCTGAAGGCACGCAGCGCCTCGTGGTGGGTGCCAACCTCGTTTTTCCGGCGCCGGCCACGTGACTGTGACTACCGCAGATGACGTAAGGAGAAAACCAGACGAGTGGGGTAAGACCTCGGCTGGTTACTTGGGCCGGGAAGGGCTGCGGAGAAGCGGGCACCGAAAGCCAGAGCGCAAGCAGACGGCCGCGGAACTCCGCGATCCCGCCGGGACTACCGGCCTGGCGCTCTAGCAGCGACAAAATGCTCCAGCACACACGGCCCCGTTCGGGGAGAAACCGCGCCAACGTCACTGTCTGCACGTGGGGCGCTCCCGCAGCGGCGAGCCCCGGGTCGGAACGCGGCCGAGGTTGCAACGAGACGGGGAACTTACTACTCGCGTCCCTGCGGATCGACGAGTCGCTCGCCCGGGAGGCCCGGTCCGGGGACTCGCGGCGGCTCCCAGCGGCAGCGCGGCGGACGCGGGGGCCGGACTGGGCGCCCCCAGGCTGTCGAAGAGCGCGGGCTTGCAGGCGGGGGCTGCGGCCGCCAGCGGGGGCCCGGGCGGCCCGGCGTCCGCAGCGCCCGCCTCGGTCCTCGCGGGCATCTGGACCCTCCGCAGGCAGTCCCGGAGCATGGCCTGCGTGCCGGCCTCGCTGAGCCAGCACAGGAACAGCTCGTCCACCTTCATCTTGAGGACCGGCTGCAGGACTTTGCCGGGCGGCATCTCCACGGCGGGGGCCCTCCGCCCCGAGGAGCCCCTCCGCCCCGCACGCCGCCCTGACGCCCGAAACCCACGTGTGGCCCGAGCGGACGTCCGCGGAGCCGATGAGGGCCGCCCGCGGGGTCACGGGCCCGAGGTGTCCAGGAGACGGGGTTCCGGGGAGGCGGCAGGTCGGCAGCCCGGGGTGCTAGGGTCCCGGGGAGGCGGGGTTCGCAGCCCAGATCTTCGGGAGGCTGGGGGCGGGGGCGGAGTCGCGGGCCTGGAGTCCAGGTTTCGGGAGGTCGCGGGCCTGCGGCCTGGAGCCCCGAGTCCTGGGGTCCAGGGTGGGGGGCGCTCTAGAGCCCGGGGTCCCGGGGTCCCAGGCTCTCAGGGAGGCGGGAGTCGCAAACCTGGGGTCTGGGGTCTCTAGGAGGCGGGGGTCCGGGCCTGGCTGGGTTCGCGACTCGGGCCTTGAGCCCCGGTTCCCGCGGGGTCGCGGGCCTGGAGCCCGTAGCCCGGGGTCCCGGGGTCCCCGGAGCAGGCGGCGGCCCGGCCCAGCCCGGCGAGGGACGAAGGACAAGGGGCGACGGGTGACGCGCGAGGGGCGCGGACGCGGGCGGGGTCCTCACTGCGGGCGGCGCCGGCGTCCCGGCGGCTGCGCGGAGCCCGGGGCCCGGCGGAGGCGGACGGGCAGCGGCGCCGCGGGGCCCGCGCCGCTCTGGGCAGCTTCAAAACGGGCGCGCAGGCCGCCTTCCCAAACACGGTCGCCGACGTCGTGCGTCACCGCGATGCGTGACGTCATCACGGTGGCCACGGGCGCCGCCCGCTGCCGCGCACGCCTCCCCGGCTCCGGACGCCGCGGCGTGAGGGGGGCGGGGGCTTTGGTGCAACGAGGGAGGGGGCGTTTAGGGGCTCGGGGAGCACGGCACGGGGTGGCGGCCATCCCCGCCCCGAGATCTTCCTGCTCTGGCTCTGTGGGGTGCGCCGACCTGACGGCTGCGGTGGCGGGAGCATGCGCAGTGCGTGCCGCCGAGAGCGCGCCGTTGGGCTGGCGCCGGGCGCGGAAGGGGGAAGGGGACGGGCATGCGCAGTGCGTGCCCAGCGGGAGCGAGCGAGCCGGAGGCTGGGCGGTGGATGGGTGGCGGGCATGCGCAGTGCGTGCCTGCTGGGAGGGAGCCCGAGACCGGCCCTGTGTGGGTGGCGGGCGTGCGCAGCGCATGTCCGCGGAGCATGGACGAGTGTGCGCGCGGCGGGGGTCGGGAGCGAGCATGGGTCTAGCGGGCCGTTGTCACTTGCACAGCGCAACTTGGGATGGGCGCGGGCCGCGTGGCCGTGGACGTCGTTGACCGGGCGGGCTCCGTGCGCAGGCCGCGTGCGCCTCGCTCCCAACCGGTCTTCGGCGGGAGAGCGCCGCGCGGGCCGTCGCGACCCCTGTGTCGTACTGGAGGGAGGGTCGTCGCCCCCCCGCCCCCCTGCACTGCTCCTGGCCCGGGTCCCGTTGTCCGCGTCCCGCGAGCGGCGCTGGGCCACGCACGGGGCGCGCGCTCTGTGTCTGCTGCTGCGGGGGTCCCATGGGGGCTGCGGAGTCCCAAGGGGGGTGGGGGACTGCGGAGTCCCATGGGGGCTGGGGGGTTGCGGGGTCCCATGGGGGCTGCGGGGTCCCAAGGGGGGGTGGGAGACTGGGGGGTCCCATGGGGGCTGGGGGGCTTCGGGGTCCCAAGGGGGCGGGGGATGCGGGGTCCCATGGGGGCTGGGGCCTGCGGGGTGTCCGTTGGGTCTTTTCTAAGACGTGTTCTCCTCCCGTACGGGATCTCGTAACAGCAAAGTCTGCACGTGGGCTGCTCGTCCAGCGTGCGATCACGACGCCGGTGCCAGCCGGTCCACGCGGCGGAACGGCAGCGGGACTCCGCGAGAGCGCGTGTCACCTTGTGCGCGGCCCGAGAGGGCGTGTCACCTTGTGCGCGGCCCCGAGAGCGCGTGTCACTTATGCGCGGCCCCGAGAGCGCGGTGTTACCTTGTGCGCGGCCCCGAGAGCGCGCAGTGACTCTGTGTGTGGCCCCGAGAGCGCAGGTCACTTTGGGTGCTGCCTGGGCGGCTCGGTGTGGGCCTCCGGACCGCGTTCCCCGCTCTGGACAGCGCCGGGACGCAGGGACCCTGGACCTTGTCCCTCTGACCGCGCACCAGTGCGGGTGGGTCGGGGCCGCTTCTGTGGAGAAGGAAGCGCGCACGCGGACCGCGCTCCGGGCTGTCGCACGCAGGCGTCTCGTGCGGGAACAGATGGGCCTTTCACCCGGTCTTTACACCAGCGGCCGCTCACTGCCCCTTCCGTCCCTTCACCGCTGCGGTTTCGCCGAGGAAAGGGGGTTTTGAGCCCAAACACAAGACGCCTTTATGCGTCTCGGGGCCCATGCTGAGGCCCGAGCTGTGCGGCTGCCAAGCGGACAGACAGAAGGTCCGGCGCAGAACACAATGCACCTTCAGTGTGCGCCAGCCCCGCGAAGATCCTGTCCTGCCAGGACAAAAACGCCCTGTGCGACCCTGGGGCGCCGCGGAGCCAGCCCTGAGCCCAGCTCACCCTGAAACAGGAGCACGGTCTCAGGCCGGTGACACGAAGGGGGCTTCCCGGGGTCTGCCTGACTTCCAGTGGGGTGGCAGGAGGACCCCCCCCCCCCCCCCCCCCCCCCCCCGCCAGGACAGAAGGATGGGCTGGGGAGGGTGGTAGTGGACAGGAAGATTCTGGAGAACTGCGCGTGGGTTGGGGGGCCAAGGAGAAGCTGAGTCAGCTTCCCTGCTGCATTATCCTGGGAGCTTGTAGAGGAAGGCGCTGGGGCAGTTGGAGGGGAGGGCGGCCCCTTCCTTTGCCAGCCTGAGCCCAGTTTCCTCTGTGGGACGCAGCCCACCCAGACCCTCAGAGTGGATCTGCACACCCTCCACTTCAGCTCCGTCAGGGACTGGCCGATGGGAAAGGCAGGCTTTCCCCATACCGCATGACGGAACAACAAAATAACGAGTCTGTCTGCAGAGCTGGAGGTGGTTGATAGCAACCCCCCATCCCACTTGGGGACGGAAGAAGTCCTAAATACGGTGCCTGTGACATCAGATCTCATGGGTCCCTGGCAGACCCGGGGCTGCAGACAGACCCTCCCTGGAAGTCAGAGTGATCGAGTTTATATCTGCCAAGGACATTCATCCAAAACAAGATGCTCTTTATTCTTTTTAAAAATCTCCGTTTCTATCATGAGGACAAACTCCTGGGTGCCTGGGTGGTCATTTTGTGGAGTGGTAAACTCTCGATTTCCGCTCAGGTCACGACATCAGGGTCACAAGATAGAGCCCTGAGTCGGGCTGGTGCTCAGTGAGGCGTCTGCTTGAGGTTCTCCGTCTCTCTCTGCTCTTCCACTCGTGCCCTCCCTCCCTAAAATAAGTGAATCTTCAAAAACAAACAAAGAAACAAAAAGGAACCCAGAATACCCATAAATGTCTCTGTGTTTGGTCTCAAGGGATGTCCTTCAAAGAACCTAATCAGGAGCTTGACCACCTTCCCTGTGTCAGGTCTGCCAGGAAAGGCTGAGTCTAGACGGTGTTTATGAAGTCGGTCTGTCTGTCTCTTCCCTTCCTGTTTCAGTTCTTCCCTTTGCTACTGACTGGCTTGCTTTCCAGTATGTGGTTTCGCCTGCTGCTCGAGGGCACATCCTTTCCTACAATTTTGAACAGGAGGAACTGGGTCTTTTCCTGCGTTCCTTGAGCGCTCTGTAGCAGTGGGGTGGCTGAGTGAACAGGGGGCATTCCACGACTGGGATGTTTCAGTTGGCTTTATTGTCACGGGATTGGTTCTTTCTCGGGACGCAGTCACTCTGCTCCCCCTTCCCTCCAAGACTCAGACAGCCCACCACCCAGTGCCACTGCCTGCCCTTGATTGAAAGCAGAGTGGTTTTCCACGACACGTTTCCAGGGACAGAACGTGGGTGAAAGACCGTGGAAGGGTTTTTTTCAGCAAAGACGGTATTATGGTCATTCCCTGGGTGCTATGTTGTCACTGACACCGGGACAAAAGAGTAGAGAAAACATCCATTAAAAGTTTCCAACCTAAGCAGTGGTGTTTAAATGCCTTACGGTCCTGGTAATCAGGAAAGAAAATGTATTGTGTTAGCAACCATCTTAATAAGCTTTCAAAGAAGAATAAAAATGTTGATCAAAACAACAAAAAACAAATGGATAGTGACCCTACGAAACTAAAGAGAATGGAAAAATTGTAAATGCTTTAAAAAAAATCATATGTTCAGATTTGCCCTTTTCTCCAAAGGAAAGAGTTTTATAGAGTTTATGCAAGTATACTTTTTTTTTTTTTTCAGACGTCCTTGTATTTTCCTGATTCAAGATTCCAGTTTTAATCAGTGACATGGGCTCAGGACCTCCCAGACAGGGAGGCTGTGTGTCTGCCCCGTCCTGCCAATGAGAGTTCCGCTGAACAATGTGTTTCTGTGCGGCTAGTACTGGGATGCTTGGGAAGTTTCCCTTCTTGCTATCAACTCGCCTGGCTCCATCAGTGCTTTCTCTTTTAATTTATTTACAATGTATTTATTATGCTGGAATGCGGCATAATTAAGCTGTGGCCTGCTGGGTCCTCCGAGTGTGTGCTACGAGCCCGAGGACAGAGAGGAATAAAAGACGACTCACCATCTCAAAGATTTCCTCATCTAATGGGGCGGGAGTGGGGATTTATACAATTAGATGATTCAATGCACAGTTACACCGCAGAATGCGGAAGTGTGAGGAGAGAAAGAAAATGACAGAGGAGCTATGGCTGAGGGAGGGACTGTCAGCCTCACAGAGGTGGCACTCACCACACGTAAGTGGACGTGTTCAGGACACTTGATCCTGAAAAGCAGAACGTACGGAAGGAACACACAAGAAAAGGAGCTAGAAAGGGCTTGGGAGGGGCTTCTGCACCAGGCAAACACTTCTGACTTCCTCATGCACAAAAAAATTGATTCAGGGACAAACAGAGATCCTCATTACCTTGTGGCGAAACAGTTGCTACAATGTGGCTTGCCATAACCAGGCAGGTGGGAAGGGTGCGTGGTCCCCCAACCCCCCCACCCCGTTGCCCTGGGAAAGGATGGGAAAACACGGCTGCAGGCTGCTTCTTTCTCTCTGAATTTCATCAACGACCACACGGAAGGTAGCAGTTAGGAAAAGCACGGGCCAGCTTGCAATCAGAGTTTTAGAGAGGATACCGACAGCCCCCAGAACTGCAGGTTTGAAAAAGGCATCGGGCTTTCACCCAATCAGAAGTGTGTGCATTACAGTACTGACTTGGGGCAGGGGGAGACCTGAGGCAGTTTTCGTCCCCTTTGTGAAAGCCCCTGAAAGAGTGAAGGTGCACCGACGGGCCCCCAAAAGAGCCCTGATCCCTGTGACCGAGTTTAGGGAGAAGGGCCAGCCGGGATCGGCCAACTTCCCGACGTGGTATAGATACTCTAACTGAAGAGTTTGGGGGTGGCTGTTACACACTAGCAGCTGAGTGACACAGACAATTGAAGCCATTGAATCAAGCTGGCGATTGAAAGGATCAAACACATCTGAGGCA